AAATAAAGAGTTGTATGACTGAAACTATTGACTTATTTGGAATTTTATTATACCCAAATGAAATTATACCATGTTCTCTCTTGAAAGAATTATTTATTCGTTTTCAAGATGAAATGAATAAAAAGATTCAACAAAAATTATCATATCATCAACAACCCTCATTTCAAATTCAACTTACTCAAACAAATAATGAAATTAAAGAAATACAGTCTCAACTTATCAATTTGAAAACCCAATTTCATCAAATTCAAACACAACAACATGAAACACTACATCAAAATAATTCTATTCATTCAGTTACACAAACATTTGAAAATCAACAAGATAAATTACCTCCAACTCAAAGTAAACATGAAATAACTAACCAAACGTATCAAATAAAACGTCCTACTGAAAACCCACTTTCAATTGGAATTAAAGAAAATCCTTCAATTAAACATAAAAATGATATTAAACCATCTAAAACAATACTAAATAATACTAATTCAAGAATTTCAACAATCAGTGAACAAAGAAATAGGTTATATACTAATACATTCTCTGAATCACTTTCATATTCACCTTCTGATTTTCAACAAGAAGTAGAAGATAGTCGAATTCCACTCTCTTGTAATACTATGTTTCAAAATGAAAGTCAATTTCATTCTTCTAATCATTTATTTTATTCTGAAGCTCTTTATTTTCATCAACCATTACAACCTTCTTATCCTCAATTTTTAACTAATTCTACAGTAAATACAGAAGTATCAAAATCAGATATAACTAAACATAAATCACAAAATGATTTATATAAATCTATTCCATTATTAGAAACAAGTGATAAAGTATTAAATAATATACACAAGTCTATCTCTTTTTTTAAAGAATGTACTGGCAAAAGTTCATATAAAATATTATTTGATTCAGATAAACTTAAAGATACAAATTTATTTCCATCACAAACTTTTTTTGAAAGATGTAAATATAAAAAAAGATTAGCAATATTTATATGTTATGGTGAATATTTATTTGGAGTATATTATCATAGTCAACTTATTCCAAGTGGTTCAATTTTTGGAATATCAGATTTTCTATTTTCTATTACATCACCAAAAATTTCTGAATATAAGAAATTTGATATTAATTCAATGGGAATAAATAAATTGGCTCTCTTTGGTTATTATAATTCAACTGAAAGAAATAAATTATTTGAAATTAAATTTAAATTTGGTTCAATGGTTATTTGTTCACCCCCAATTGACTGTTTGCATAATGAAATTGAATTAATTACAAATAATGTATATCAACAAACTGCAATTAGTTCTTGTATTCCCAAATCACCATTTAAAGCTGATAGAATAATAAGTATTTCATTTGATATATGAATAATTAATTTTTTCATTATTTTCAGAGTTTTTATTGTTTTTGTTAAAGTTGAGAAATGAAAGTAAAATAAAAAAAAAGAAGAAGAAAAAATGAACTTAAAATAATAAATTTGGTTATGAAAGAAATAAAACATTTAAATCCTTCTTATATAAATTCAGGAATGATTAATGATACTGCTAAATGGAAATGGGGTGAATATAAACAATTTCATATGATTGCATATATTAATGATAATTCTATTTTAATAGTAAATGCTGATAATTTACGAGTATTTCAAGAACTTGTTTTTGATTCTCCACCAATTTCATTCTCTTTTTCACCTAAAGGAACGCTTATTGTTTCAACTAAAGATGTAGTTATTATTTATCATCCAGAAAATACAAGAACATTATTTCAACCACCATCATATCAAGAATATTCAAGACAAAACATACAAGTTGATTCAGTCAATTTTTTAAATATTGAAAATGAAGAGAATAAAGAATATTTTATTGCAATAGGTATATTTCTTCAAATTTATGAAATTAAAAAAAGAGAATCTGATCAAATCTTTTCTATTCCTATTGTTCATCAAAAACATCTTTCTACTTGTATTGATGGTATTCATTTTACTACTTGGGGTGATAAAAATTTTGTTAAAGTTTGGAGATATATTCGTGAAACAAATAAAGTTGTAGTACAATATATTAAAACAAATGGTAAAGTTAAATATGCTACTTGGAGAAGAAATTGGACACAAGGATCACCTGCATTACTTATTATTTGTGATGAACAATCAACTACATTATGGTATGATAATCCATCATCAATTCAAAGTGAATCATTTTCTTTATTATGTTTTACTGGATTATATATTCCAGCATCGGATGGATTAGTATCATGGATTTATTATCATCATAAATTACATAATCCATATTTTCCAATTCCTAAACCAAGTGAATCAACATCATTAAGTGGATTTCATAGTGCATCATTATGTCAAAGATTACTTCCAAAAATAGATATCCCACGACAATTTTCACCTGATTATTTAATTCAATTTGATGGAACAAAAATTATTATAATAACTGTCTCTTTTACTCCTCAAGGAACTCCAATTATTGATTTTTCTGAACCAGTTGTGTTACCTGATAATTATTATAAAACATTTAATTTTAATAAAATCAATTCATTCATTCCTATGTGTACAGAATCACTTAGAGGTTGTGCAAAACCAACAAAAATATCATTATGTTGTAGAGCAGAAGGGAAATATTCATTATTTTCATTAAAAAAAGAAGATGATGAATTACCTAAAACATTTAAAGAACCATCACCATTAGTTATAGCAGGACATACTGCTCCAATAGAAACAATTATTGTTCATCAAACACAACAATATTTTCTTTCTATTTCAAAAAATGAAACTATTTTATGGTTAATTGGTGGTGTACAACAATATCTTGGAGCATATCTTAAATTAATTGGAATATTAAAACCTTATAAAAAGTATTGTTTTATTCAAAATTATATTATTGGAGTTAATGGAAAAGATGGAATAGTTTATCAAATAAATCAAACTGATACACCAGAAGAAGTTGATAATTTTACAATTCCATTTGAATCAACATGTATTTGTTGTATTCAAAATATTATTTGTATTGGATCTCAACAAGGTATACTTATGTATTCATATAATGGTAAAATGTTAATGAAAGGAACAATTAGAGTAAAAGGAGTTATAAATATTAATGGAAATGAAGGAGGAATTATTTTTATTGGAACAAATGAAGGTAATTATTATTCTAAAATAGATAAACCAGTTGCTATTCCATTACCAATTGAAGGTAAAATATATTCACATTCTCAATTAAGGATTTGTGTTATTAATAATTGTAAAATAAGTATTTATCAAAAAGAAGCATCAGAACATTATGAATTAGAAGCAACATTAGGTGATTCATCTAATGATATTGTTATTTGTCAACAAAGATCAGGATATATTGATGTTTCAATTGGAAAGAAAAATGTTCTTGAATGGTGGGTACCATCAACAATTGCAAATATTAGAACATATAATTCTGGATATGAATTATTAGATTCTATTCAATTTAGTGAAAAAATAGGAGCAATAGGAATAACAAAAGAAGGTACTACTATTGTTGCAATAGGAAAAAAAATTCTTATTTATAGTAAATGGGAACAAAATATTCAAAGAATTATTCAATGTATTGAACCTCAACAAAGTTATTCATTATATCATCCAAGATGTTTATTACAATTATTATTTGCTGGATCATTTAAACAAGTTGAAATTATATTATCTGTTTACTTAGAAATTATGAAAAAATCACAACCATTTCCATTAATTTATGATGATGTTTATGAAATATATAACTCAAATGATAGTTATCAAAAAGAACCACAAAAATTATATTCAGAAATTATTGAATTATTACAACAAATGAGAGATACTTCAATTACTACATCTGAACAAGCATGTATTGCTGCTATTTGTGAAGCATTAAAAATAATTAATTCAATGGAAGGACTTGATGAATGTGGAAAGAATTATTTCATTTCATTTAAATTAGACTGTTTATTAAATAAAATTTGTGGAAGAATTATGACACCAATTGATTTTATTTGGGCATATCATTCAGAAGCAAAAGAATCATTAAAAAGAGAATTAGAAATAATACAAGTTGATTTAAATGGAGCAATTGAAAGAGGAATTGGATATTGGATGTTAAATAAACCAGAATTATTAAAAGATATGTTATCAAATATAGCAAAAATTGAATATATGAAAAAGAAAGATCCAAATGATGTTGCAATTATATATATTTTATTAGGAAGAATTCCTGCTCTTGCAGCATTATATAGATTAAATAAAGAAATGAAAATTAATGATTTTTTAATGAAAGACTTTAATAATGAAAGAAATAAAATAGCAGCTATTAAAAATGCATATGTATTAAATAGTCAACATAAATATATTTTATCAATTGCATTTTTCTTAATTGGTGGAGCAATTACTGAAGCAATTCAAATTTCATTTGATAAATTAAATAATATTGGACTTGGTTTTATAATTGCAAAAATATGTAGTTCAGATTTTGAAACAACGTTAAGAAATGTTTTATTACCTGAAGTAATTAAAAGAAATGATATTGTTGGTCAATTCTTTTGTTATATTCAATTAAAAGAATATCAAAATGCTATTAAATCTTTAATATTAATGAAAGAAGAACCAACACTTTTTTATTTATTAGAATATTTTAAAAGTGATGGATTATTAAAACAAATGTATGGTGTTAATGAAATTGAACATTCTTCATTTAACTTTATGAGAAGAAATATTCATTTATATTTAAGAAATAGATGTTCTCCTCTTGCTTATCATTTTCTTGATGCACAATTTGATCATACTTCATGTCTTTCTAATTCAACAGTTTCAACAAAAAATGTTTCAATATCAAATACATCAAATGATGATTGGTTTGATGATTTTATGAGTAATAGTGCACCAATAGTTGAAGAAAAGAAAAAAGAAATTTCAATTAATCAATGTTTCCCAAAATTAATTGGTGATTTAGATATTAGTTCAATGAAAATTATTGCTCAAACAATTGCAGAACATTTGATTCATCGATTTGTATTACTTTCAAAATCATTTGAAAAAGATCCAATACTTCAAAATTTTGTAGTAAATAGAATAGTACCATTTTTAAATAATTTTGGCATTGAAAAAGAATCTGTTATAACTACATTTTATGATATTTGTACATTAACAGATTCTATTGATGTATTATGTATTTCTTCTTGTCTTAATGAACAAGAAGTTAAAATTAATAATTCTCTTCAAGATTCTCCTTTTGTTTCTTCATTTGTTGATCAAGGAATGAATTATTCTATTCCAAAAAAACCTCAAAATGATGATATTAAAATTCCAATTCCAATTAAACAACGAAGTATCATTTCACCAAATACTCTTCTTTCACCAGAACCAAAAACACCATTAGTTAAAAAACAAGTCTTACCAAAATTATCAAATAGTATTTCACCAAAAATGGCAACATCAAATTGTCTTGGAATGCAATTTATTAAAAAAGCAGAAGAACCACTTTATTTATATTTAATTTCAAGAGTATTTCCACCAGTTCATTCATTAAATGCATTATCTCATTTATATTCAGAAGCACATCATGTATTTGTTACTCATTTAAATAAACAATTACAAATTCCAAAAGAATTTGTTAGTTTAATGGTAATATTAATATTTGTTGTATCTGGAAGAATTAAAAATTATGATTTAGTATTTAAATTAATTTCTACAAAAGATAGAACATTAAATAGTGTTTGTTCTATTCTAAAAGAATGTATTAATGATGAACAAGAAGAAAATCAAGAAATGAGTGATTCAGAACAATTTGTAACTGGTTTATTAATGTTATTTACTATTCCATTACTTTCTGAATTACTTAAAGAAGTTGGATGTGTAAAAACTGATTTAATGTTAAAAAAATGGAAAGAGAGTTTAGTTAGTTATACAAGTTATTTAACTCCTACAAAACTTTTAGAAGAAGCACCAACTGAATTTTCATTTAGAATATTTTCTAAACAAGCAATTGAATATGCAGAAAATGCTTGTCAAGATAATAAATCAATGAAAATGTTATATAATTATTTTAAAAATAATCGTGCTGATGTTGTACGAAATACAATGAATTCTGTTTTTAATTCTACTAGTCTTCCTTCATATGTTAAAGAAGTTGAACCACAAATTAATGTTCCTCAATCCAAAAATACTTTAATGATTGATACTCCTCCTGTTTATTCATATTGTTGTTCATATGATAATAATTTTGTTATTTATTCAACTAAAGATGGAATAAAAAGATTAGCAAAGTTTAAAGGTGTTCATAATGATATTCAATTTTGTTTTTATGGAATGCATCCTCAAACAAAAAAAGCAGTAAAAGTAACTCAATTTATTGGAAATTGTATGGATGCTAATCCAAATCATCCTTATTTTGTTGTTGGAACAGAAGATGGATTAATTTTAATATTTAAATATTCTCAAGATGAAGCTATTCAACAAACAGCAATTCATAATAATATTTCCCCAAGTTTAAATGGAAATGGACCAAAAGGATTTGGAATTAAAAGTGTTAAATGGAATAATGCAGGAACTAAATTTATTGTTAGTGATGCAATGGGATATGTTGCTGTTTATAGATTTACAGTAAATGAAATTACAATGATCTTTAGTGAACGTATATTTATTCATGGTGTGGATGCTTGTTTTATCGGTGAAAGTATGTTTTTTGTTGCAGCTGGAAATAATGGAGTAAAAGGAGAAGTTGTTATTGGTAATTTATTAGAATCAAATACTGTTGTTACTAGAACAGTTGTTGGAGTTGTAAATGCTATGTGTCTTGTACAACGATTTGGAAGTGTTATTATATCAGATAATGATGGAATTAAATTTGTTGATTTACAAACTGGAAGAGTTTTTAATCAGAAAAAATATGAAAAAGGAGTTTGTGCGGTTGCAGTTGATACATATTCACTTGTTTTATTTGTTGGATTATGTGATGGAAGAATATTAATGAGTCATCTTCCTGATTTAGAACAAAATGAAGAAATAGGAAAACATGAAAATACTCCAAGAGGTGGAAAATTATTTAAACTTTTAACAAGCTCAAATTATCATGCAGTAAATAAGTTAGGAGTTGTATGGTTTGATAAAAATTCACAACCAGAATTATATTCTTGCTCTAGTGATGGAAGTTTGATTCAACGTTCTTTAATTTATTTCCAATAAACATAACTCTATTTCTTTCAATTTATTTAGTTTGTTATTTTAACATATTTAATAATTTTTATTATAATAATAAAAGAATAATAACCATAATTTTTATTTTTTGTTTTTATTTATTTGTATTAAATTTATTATTTCATTTAAATTAGTTATTGGCATTAAAGCATATGCTTTTCTTCTTTAAAGAGAAAAAGTTACAAACGTGCCATAGAATAAAATTCATTCTACTATCCAACATTAATAGAATAGTGTTTGGCTGTTAGGGGTGAAAAAGTTACTTTTTTTATTGTTAAAACTAATCTAAAATAAAAAAACAAAACAAAAAAACATAAACATCAATCATTTACCCATTTGAACAATTAAAATTCTTTCAGCAGAAAAGGGTGTTCCATCACCATTACAACATGATTGATTCATACCTTGATATACCATATACAATGAATGATTATAACTACAATTCTCTCCTATTGAAGCAATGTCAATCCATCCTCGATAAAAATTACCTATAGAAATAATAAATTCATTTTTACTCCAAATCTTAATATCTCCACCATAACTTAATAAATCAATATCTTCTGTTTGTTCTTCATCTTCTTCATAATCTTTAGGAATCCATCTCATTGTTGTTCTTTCATCATTTGATGGATATAAACAAAAGACAAAATGGTTATTATCTTCAATAATATCAATATTTTCTTCTTCTTTTTCTGATAATACTTTAATAGAATGAGAAATAAATCCACCAAATACATTATCATTATTATCAATAATAATAACATAGATATTGGGTTTTTTTTTAATTTTATCAAAAATTACTTCATAATTACTTCCATCAATAACACTATCATAGAGTATTCTCATTTTATTCATTTCAACCCATGTCATTAAATATTTTACATTATCTTTAATAGTTTCAACTTCATTTTCTTCAAACATTTTTTCATACTTTTTTACCATTCTTTCATTTAATATAAATTCTTCATCTTCTTCATCTTCTTCTCTTTCACTACTTTTTTCAGTTTTTATTAATGTTTTATTTTTTATACTATTCTCATCTTTTGATTCTATTCTTTCTTTTTTAGTATTATTTGAATTTAATCTTTTTAATTTTATTGGTTCTTCAATGTCTTTTTTTTTTCTTTTTATTCCACCTTCTCCTTTGAGAAGAGAAACTTCCTTTCTTAATTCATTTAGTCGTTCATCTTTCTCCTTTCTTCTTTCACTAATACAATCATTTATATAATTTAAATAATTTTCAGCAGCTTCTATACGAATTCTTTTTTCTTTCAAAATTGAATCAATTTCTCTTAAAGATCGTTCTAATTCTTCAACTTTTTCTTCTCCATCATATTCCTCAATTCTTTCAATAACTTTTTTGAAAGAATTTCCTAAATCATATTCTTTCATCACTTGTTCTTTAAACGAATTGAAATTAAACATAATATTATTTCCTTTTAATTCAATTCGTTGTGTTGCTGACATCTTAATAAAAAATCAAAATTTTCTAAGTTTTTTATTATTCTTCTTAATTGATTTATTTTCATTAATCTTTTTCTTTTTCCTTGGACGATTAAAATACTCCTGACTTTTCATTTCATCAACGAAATACGGAATAAAACCATTACTATACTTCAAATCATATCATTTTTTTATCCCGATAAAATCCAATCAAAAAAGAGATTATTTTCCCTAATTTTGAATGGAAAGTTGTTATTAAGAAATTAAAAAATCTCAACCCTTTCAAAAACAAAAAACAAAAAAATTAAGTAATCAACTAAAAACCAAGAGATGTCAAGTGAAACTCCAACAATCTCTATAACTATTCATGAAGCACGAAATCTCCCTCAAAACAAAGGAAAACTTCTTGGGTTTTATGTTCGATGTAAAAATAATTTTAATGGGAAAATTTTTCAAACATCAACAAAAGAAGGTACTAACACTCCTTCATGGAATGAAACATTTGAAATTAATGAAAGTAAAAAGATAAAAAATGAAAAAGAATTATATTTTCATGTATGGATGAATTCATTCTTCAAAGAGTCTATTGGAACTTTAAAAATTCAAATATCAAAGAATAAGTTTGAAGATAAATGGTATATGTTAGAATTAGATAAAAAATGGATTAAAGAAATTAATAAGGCAGAAATACGAATTAGTATTAACCAACTTAAATTTAAAGAAGAAGAAATAAAAAAAGAAGAAATAAAAGAAGAAAAAGACTCATTAATAAATAGTAAAGATAATGAAAATTTAAATTTTGAAGAATTTAAGTCTAAATATAATATAATTGGAACAAGTGAATTAGGAGAAGGAGCATTTTCAATTGTAGTTGCAGGAGAAATAATTAAAACAAAAGAACGAGTTGCAATAAAAAAAATAACAAAAAAAGATATTCCAGAAGATCAATTAGAAATGATTAAAAGAGAAATTCAATTAATGAGACAATTACATCATAAAAATATTGTAAAATTATTTGATGTATATGAAAATAATGAAATATTATATCTTATATTAGAATATGTTGAAGGTGGAGAATTATATGATAGATTAGTTCAAGGAGCATTAAATGAAAGACAAGCTGCATGTGTATTATACCAATTAGTATCTGCAATAACTTATCTTCATAAAAATAATATTGCACATCGAGATCTTAAACCAGAAAATATATTATGTGTATATAAAAATAAATTGTATATTAAAATAGCTGATTTTGGATTATCAAAAGATTTTTCTACTTCATTACTTCAAACATGTTGTGGAACACCATCATATGTTGCTCCTGAAATTATTAAAGGAGATTGTTATACTTGTCAATGTGATATTTGGTCAATAGGAGTAATAACATATTTAGTTTTAAGTGGAAATTTACCATTTTATGATGAAAATGAAGAAGTTATTTTTGATAAAATATTGGATGGACATTATGACTTTAGTTCAAGTATTTGGCAAACAATTAGTGTTAAAGCAAAAGATTTTATTATGAAATGTTTAAATGAAAATCCTAATGAACGACCAACATCTTTTGATTTACTTAAACATTCATGGTTATCTAATGCACAAGTTAGACTTGATACAGAAGAAGAAATGGGTGATGAAAATAATAAATTTATGTTTGAACAAGCATGTGGATATGTTTCAAAACAAGGAAAGACAATGGGTTAAAGAAAGTTCTTAATAACGTAAAAAAAAGGGTTAATATTGATGAATTAGTCATCAATTATTGTATAATTTTAATTGAATAAAAATAAAGTGAAGGTTTTGATTTTATAAAAATAAATCAAATAAAAACAAAAAGAACAGATAGACATGATTGAATCTTTCTTCCTTCTTTTAGTTTTGTTTAAAATTCATTCATTTGCTCAATGTAGTTATGGATGTTCTGATAAATGTATTGCTTTATTTACATGTAATACATGTAAAGATGGTTCTTGTCTTAATTGTATTAAAAATGAAGTTAATTTTAAAGAAATATATTTACAAAATGGAACAAAATGTCAACGATTCGATAAAATAATTTCGAAAACAAATTGGCTTCCTTCTAATTTAATTCAAATAAAAAATGGAGAATATAAAGTATTAAATATTAATGAGTCGAGTTATATTGATTATGGTCCTTGTTCATTTCCAAATAATAAATATCGATTATCTCAATGGGTTGCAATAAATATGTCTTCATTTCAAATAAATAAAATTATTGTTATTTCAATAAAAAGAAAAAATTATAACAATTTAGATTTTAATCCTATTCTTTATATCGATTCTACAAATTCATTATCAAATACTTCATTTCCTTATTGTTTTACAAGAACAAAACTTTCTAATGAATCAGCTTCAATTTCATTTCCTAATCTTTTCAATTCTATTCCATTTATTTATCTTTATTTTTCTATTGATGGTATTAATTCAATTCAATTTGAAGTATCTGTTTCTGATCAATTAAAGAATATTACAATTCCATCTTTTCATTTATTTGAAAATCAAACTACTCAAATGTATTTTAATACTACTCTTCAATATTCATTTACTTTTGATTTAATACAACAAAGTCATTATAGATTAATTAATTGTATTAAAACAACTTTAATAAAAATTGCATTAATTACAATAGAAATGAATGGAGATTATACTTTAATTATTGATTCATTACATGATGATAATGATCTTTTTCTTATTGAAATAAATCCTTTAACAGAAAAATGTATAAATATTTGGTTTGGAAAACAATATTCTTTTGATACTTTAAATAATCAACGTGGTTTATTTATTTCTTTAAATGCTTCTCTTTCTTTAAAAAGAAGAACATTTTTTATTGGAACAAAAAATCATTTATATAATCCAATAATAACATTTAAAGTAATTTGTCCTGATCATTGTAATCAAAAATATGGAAATGGATATTGTTCTAAATATGATAGTAAATGTATTTGTAATGAAAGTTTTGGAGGAAGTGATTGTCATAAAAAGTGTTGGTATAATAATCAATGGACAATAGGAAATGGTGAAGGATTTTGTTATTTTGGTGAACTTCATTGTAATGAATTTTGTATTTGTGAAGAAGGATATATTAATTTTAATCATTATTGTATTACACAAACATGTTTAGATAATATAAAAGATCATAATAAAGGAATTGAATGTATTAGAGGGAATTTACATTGTTTAAATAATTGTTCATGTGAAAATGGATATACTAATATTTCATCATTTGAATGTATAAAAAATGAATGTGGAAATGGAGAATTAGATGAAGGAGAAGAATGTGATTCAGTCCCAAATTGTAATATTTATTGTAAATGTAATGAAGGATATATTAAAGATACAATCAAAAATAAATGTAATGATATTCAATTAGAATGGTGGATATATATAATTATTTGTAATGGAATTATTTTATTATTTATTATGTTTATTATTATTGTTATTCTTTTATCTCATTACCTTTTTAAATCTAAAAGAAAAGATAATAATGAATATATTCAACAACAACCAATGTATTATCTTAATCTTACTCATTCTAAAAATTTAAATATATTTGGTTCTAAAACATTAATTAAATATTCTCTTCATCCTCATAACTTGGATTTTGGAAATAAAACTAGTCCTACAAAAATTCATGAAACTCATTTTCAATCTATTAAAATACAAAATAAATCAAATACTAAATGGATGATGATAATATTTCATACAACAAATACTCCTAAATTTATTATTCATTTCAATCCTCAAGTAATATTTCTTCATCCTTTTAATAATTCAATTAAAATTAACGTTTCTTTAACACTTAATTGTACAACAAAAATAAGAAATACAAAAATTCCATATACTGTTTGGTTTTCTTCATCAAAAAAGACTTTACAATGTATTGAATTATTATTAAAAAATAAAACAATTGAAACTTGGACTCAAAATAATCAACTTGAACTTTTTTATTATTTACGTTCAATTCCAATTAGATATCATAGTAATTTAATAATTAAAACTGATGCTGAATCATCATTATCATTAGACCTTGATGAATTAAATATTCATGACACTATATATTCAGAATCAAATTATGTTCATAATTATATTGGATATTATCGTGCTGTTCCTGTTTTTATTAAACAATATCGACAATCAGATTATTCTCAACAACAATGGCAATTATTAAAATATGAAATTAATTTACAATATATAACATTAAGCAAATTAAGAAATCCATTTATTGTTAATTTTATTGGTTCTGTTAATTATACTAAAGATATTTATATTATTACTCAATTCTTTATATTAGGTTCTTTAAGTCAATTTATTCAAAATAATTCTAATGAAATTATATTAAAATTACCTTTTAAATTAAAAATTAAAATAATGAAAGATATTGCTAAAGGAGTACAATTTCTTCATTATAATAATATTCTTCATCTCAACTTAAAACCAAATAATATTTTATTAAATTCTTTATTTGATATGTCAAATTGTTGTGTTAAAGTTACTGATTATTGTTCATCACCTAAATTACTAACTATTAGAGAATTATTAAATCAATCAAGTATTTATTATAATGCACCTGAAATTTTTGAACATTACTTTTATAAACAAAGTGATTCTTTTTCATTTTCTATTATTTGTTGGGAACTTTTTTATCAACAAAAGTATTTCAACAAAAATTTCAATTATCAAAAACCTAAAAAAAATATTCCTGTCTTTGTTCGTCCTCATTTTGATGATTCAATTCCTTTTCCTTTAAAAAATCTTATTCAACTTTGTTGGAAACAAATTTATACTGAACGTCCTTCTTTTGATTTTATTGTCAATAGTCTCAATTCTATCTTTCATACCCCTAACAATTATGAAATGTTAGATAATGAAGTTGATTGTATTGCTTTATCTGATTTTATTAATGAAAAACAACAACAATTTTGTTTCGAAATGATGATTCATTGAATTTTTTGTATTTATAGAATTGTTTCATATTTTTTTAATATTCGAATTTATTAGAATATTAAAAAAGAACTGAGTGAAATTACATTTTATTATGCGTTTCATTCAATTTACTTTTCTTCTTATTTCAGTTTGCTTTGCTTTTAAAGCATGGGTAATTACTGATAGTCATTTTGATCGTGATTATACTGTAGGAGCTTATTCAAGATGTAATGAAATGGATGTTTGTATTAATTTATTAATAAAAATAAAATAAAAAATAATAAATTGTTGTAGTGCTGTCATGACTATTCTGTTCCAAAGAAAGGTAAAGAAGAATTTATCTCTGGTCCATGTGGAGATTATAATTGTTATCCACCACTTAATGTTAGTCAATCTGCAATTGACTTTATTTATCAACATAGAGATGAATCTAAAATAGTCTTTTGGATGATGGATACTTTACCTGCTACCTTTTTAAAACAATCTAAAGAACGAAATGTTTATCATATTAAAACTCAAGCTATGGAATTACAAAAAAGACTACCTGGATTTAAAGTTTTTCCTGCTCCTGGAAATCATGACTATTTTAAACATTCTGAATGGCAATTCCCTCCTGAAAGTCAATGGATGTTAGAAATTATGATTGACTTATTTAAACCTTGGTTATCTGATAGTTCTTTAGAAACTTTTAGAAAGGGTGGATATTATACTGAATTAATTGATTCTGGAATGCGTTTAATATCATTAAATATGGCATATTTAGATGTCTATGGAATTCATTCTCAAGAATATCCTGCTAAAGACCCAGGAAATATGGTTGCATGGCTTAATTCAACTCTTAAAGAAGCAAAAGAAAATAAAGAACGAGTTGTTCTTATTTTCCATGAACCAATTGGATTAAAGTCAAGTGGTGCAGTAACTGTTCATCCTAGATTCAATCAAGATTTCAATCATATGATGACTTTATATGGAGATATTATCATTACAATTCTTACTGGTCATGAACATCTTGCCGCTGTAAGATTACTTCCTTCTTATGAAAATCCAACATTTAGTGTTATTGGAAATCCTGCTTGTACTTCAAGAACTAATTTAGATCCAAGAATTCGTTTAGTAGAATTTGATATTCAAAGTCTTATTGGATGGAAAGAATATAAACTTGATATTGAAAAATGTAATTCAAATGGTAAACTTGATTGGGAATTTGATTATGATACTAAATCTTTATTTGGTTTCGATAGACTTTCCTTACAAGATACAAAGGAATTTATTAGAAAATTAGAAAAGGATGATTCTTTCTTTGATAAGTATAGAATGCATTGTGGTTTCCATAATGGAAAAGAATATCCTGGTAATTCTCGTCATGCTTTCATTTGCTCATTAATTTCATTAACTGAAACTCAATATCTTGATTGTGTCAGAAATGGACCAATTCAATAAGAAAGAAAAAAATTAAAAAGAGGTTTTATTAATTAACAATCATTTTGGGTTTAATATTTTATTATTTCTTTTGAATCATTTGATCAACTAATGAAATAAAATCATTTATTTGAGACGTTCTTATATTCCATTCAAGATATTGTACTATTATTTTATCATGTGAAATTAGACGTAATACTGATTTAATTTCTTCATTAGAAATAGCATGAGGTAATTCACTATTTAATCCAATAACAATCAATTTTTTACATATTAGATAATGACTAATATTTTTCCATTCTTCAAAATTCTTAAATTCTTCAAAACTTTTTATATTTGATACATCAAATGCTAATACAAAAACATCTGGTTGAAAATAAAGAAATGGTGATAATTGAAATGAATTTGGTCTTACTTTTGCTGGTTGTATTTTACCTAATGGTAACCAAATTTGATATGATTTACCATCAGTATAATGCCATTTAACATCACTACTTTCCATGACTGATAATTCACCATTTGCTTTATTTAAGAATGGCATTAAATCAACAGAACAACATGCAGCACAAGTTATTTTAATAATAGTATTTAATTTCTCTACAACTAATTTAACAACTGAGTTTTGTACATCTTCATAATCTTGAGATAATGAAATGATTGAATCTAAACTACCAAGAGCAATATCAATGTCATTTTCATCTCTTAAGTATTGGATATATCTCTCGAAACTCATTTTCTAAATCATCTTGTTTTTGAAGTTGATGATAATGAATAGCTAATGCAATCATAGATGGTGAATATAATAAAGGAACATATGATAAATACATCA